CGTCGGCCGCCACGAACACCCACCCGACGCCCTCCAGCGCCGACCGCGTCCACGCGCTCAGCCGCTCCTCGCCGTAAATCCGGCACACCATCCTGGAGCACAGCGCGAAGATGATGGCCAGCGCCGTCTTGGACAGGCCCCGGTACCGCATCGCCGTGCCGCCCACCACCAGCGGCTCCATGCGGCAGAGGCACGACGCGCACTCCCCGGAGAAGCGCGACCACCGGAGCGCCTCCAGCCCCGTGTAGTAGGGCAGCACCACGGCGTCCAGGTAGAGGCTGGCGTGCAGCACGCCGGACACCGTGGAGGCCTCCAGCACCGCGTACCGGATGTCGCCGTCGGCCTCGTTCCGGAACGCCAGCGCCGACGCCTGCAGCAGCAGCAGCAATGCCGGGCCGAGCTGCGCGAGCGGGAACACGGCGTTGACGCGCTGCCCCTTGGCCAGCGCCAGCAGCACCAGCGGGAGCAGGAACGGGCCCGAGGGGACCAGGTACTTCCTCTTGACGCCCCTCACGCCGGCCGCGCCGCTGCGAACGAGGTCGAGCACGGCGAAGGCCAGCGCGGCGACGAAGCAGTAGGCGGCGAAGGCGGCGACGAGCGCGCCGACGGCGGAGTGGTAGTCGCCGGGGTAGGAGCTGTCGCAGTAGTAGTGGTAGGGGCAGGTGACGAAGTCCGTGGTCTCCTCCAGCTGCCACCGCGTGCACTTGAGTATCTGCCTCGTCACCGCGTCGCCGCCCAGCTGCTGCAGCCGCGGCGTCCACGCCGACCGGCCGGCGCCTCCGAGGAGCGGCGAGAGCATCTGATCATACGACATGGCGTCCGCGGCAAGCTAGCTAGCAGGCCGGCTCCACTCCTCTCTCGTCGTCCGTCCCCCGGCCGACGCCGACGCAGCTCCTGCTCCTTGGTCCTCGACTTGTTGTCCTGTTAGCCAATACGCATTCCCGCATTTGGCGGCCTAATGATGGCTTGCTTTCAGAGGCAGCTCCTCGCCCTCTTCCTCCTCCTCTTACACCCCTTTTCTCCCCCCTTTGGATGGATGGATGGATGGATGGATGGATGCTGGTGTGCTGGAGTTGTTGCTTGTAGAAGAAAGGAGGGAGTTGGAGCTTGGAAAAATTCGGATAGGGAAGGTTTAACTGGAGGCTCCGAGGGAACTTGCCATGCTTGCCCCTGATCTGAAACTTTGAAACAGCACGCACCTCGCCATTATTAAATGATATCAGCTTGTCAAGATAGAGAGATATTGGCTGCTGATATCATTAGCAGAGGCTTTTGTGGCGGGGGCGTTTGGGTCATGTGGCGGTGATGGTTTGCTGTCATGGTGGTTGGGTCGGGGGAGAAGACAGAAGAGAAAGGGAGAGAGTAGGCGAGGCCGATGGAGGGAAGGATTGTTTGACTTTGTTTGTACTGCTGCATTGGTAATGGTTGGTAGGCGAGCGAGGACGGAGACAAACATCTGGTACGTTGTATAATTTGGTGTATACGTTGCAGTACCTGTCTGTTAGCGGTAGTTAAAGTTTGTTGGGGGCTCGATCGTATTTGATTTTCTTCAAAGTACGCAGTTTGTTGGGGTGTTTGGTGAGAATATGGGGCTGGCTCATTCAGCATATTAGTTTACATGCATCATTGGGCATGCATGATTAGCGATCGATTTAGCATCTAGCTACCTCGTCTTGCATTGCATGCACACGTTAGTTTTTTCTTTTCTTTTTGACCTTCATCAGCTTATAAAAGGTGAGTTGGTATCATGGTATGGATGCTCTGCTTCTTCGTGTTCGAAGAGTTTTTCTTTTCTTTTCTTTTTTTACGTTACACGGCAGAGAAATGATGGTGCTATCATTCAGGGCTCCATGGCATCATCGACCAGGATCATTGTATCTAAAAAGAAAGGCATCATGAGGATATATCTTTTATCCACCAGTGTGCAGGACGACTTATTTGTCTCTGCTGGAATTATTTGGTGGTAGGTGTTCACAACTCAGACAGCCAGGTAGGCCATGATCTTCCCCTAGAGGAAGGAGGAGGGTCGTGGCGTCCCAGTCTAATGTTTGTGCTCTGCATGTCTGTCTCTGGTAAAACGACTGCGGCTGCTAAAAACTTTTCTGAAAGCGGTCATGTGAGGCCGCGCTGAACGGAAGCTACAATATTGATATCTCCATATGACCATATAGATCGCCAACCGCTCAACTGGATATCGTCGTCGTCGCGTGGGCATGCATCATGTGGAAGGGTGCCACTGCTCGTTTAATATTCACCCCCCTACAGGCTACAGGACATCTTCTTGCCAAACATGTGCTGATGCACCAGGGAAATGAAATGGATAGATATATCATATAGGCTGGGAATGGCAGCTGCTCAGGATGTTGGGCAAAGCTTTTAGATAATAATAATAATAATAATAATAATAATAATAATAATAATAATAATAATCTCTGAGTCCAGTCTTCAAACAACAGTGATCTGAAACTTGGTGCAAGCCCAAAAATATTGGGAAAGACATTGGACCCTGTCTCTGAGAAGGACTGCATATGTATTGTGAAACATTTTGCTTGTCAAGGCCGTGGAGCCAAACCGAGAATGTTTCAACATCAGAAGAAGAGTCGGCTAGATCAGCCTCTCCTAGTCTACCATTAATTGGCCGAGTCTAATTTGCATCATGCTGCAGTGGCAAGCAATCTGTGACACGAGCCATCTGCGCACGTCAATCCGTGTAGGCGCAGCGGCCCTCGCCAGTCAATATCTGCTACGGAGAGGCGCCCTTTTGGACGAGCGAGTGATCCTGGAAATTTACCTGTCCGAGATCACGACATTCTGGTACCGCGAACACCTTTTAAATTAAGTACTAACAGATAGGATTGATTAGGATGTCTGCCTGGCTAACAACCGTAAGGTGTGAGTACCTTGCAGTCAGGCCGTATTCAAAAGAGAAGAGAACACGAGATGCTCAAGGCCAGGGGGGTCTAAGAAGAAGAGTTGGTGTATTTCGTTGGACAGGTCAGAATATGGTTTATTTTTCGAATGATGTAGGAGAGTTGCTTGTATTATGTATTATATCAAAGAGAGAGAAGGATACAACACGACCGTCTAGATTATGGTTTATTAGACTTCTATATAATTTTGTACACCAAAATGAAAGGCACTATATTTTGTATTTTTGAACATTTCTCTCCGGATTTTTGCTAGTGAGGCCGAGGTTTAACCAGATTTATTTATATTCTTATAAAAGCCGCTTGATTATTGTCAGTCACCCGCGGCATCAACCTTATCCCTGAAACGAATATTTTCTTCCTAAAATCTAAAAAGGACGTGGTAGTGCACCAGGTAGGAAGCGCAATTGCCTCTCCAGGCATGGTGAAAGTGCGTGGCCTTTCCGGGTCGGCGACGAATTTTCGAGCCGACGGGAGGGAATCGACAACACGATGCATGTACAGGGAAGATATGAGGCCTGAAAGATACGTCCACTTGATGCGTTATTGGGAGCAGGTGAATCTCAAGGGCCTACCGTGCATATACGTGGTACAGCTTTTGCACCAAATCAGGGACGCTGATCTAACAGATGAAAGCAACGCCGGCAACAGCAACATCGGCAGAGGCTTGAGCCGTTGAAGCAACCAGAGGCCCTATGGTGACTGGTGAGAGAGATTTGTCTGGTACTAGAACGTAGGTGCAGGAGGACAAGAGGGCGAGGCGAGGACGCCCGGCTCATGTCACCGGCTAGGTCGTTTGAGAGGCTCTGGCCCATGTGTAGGGTGGAATCATGAGGTGACTGAACCTCCTAAAGTCTTGACATCCCTGCGCCAAAAGTCCTAAAGGGGTGGGTGATCTGCACCAGGATTTCTGTGATCTCACTGTGGATGGTTGATGGCACGTAAGATATAGATATGGGGTGTCGAGGGCCATGAGTGGCCTCATGGTTGGGACAGAGTAATAGACATGATCATGCAGAGTTTGATACTCGCAGGAAAGCCTCCCCAAAGTACTGCACGCTGTTATTTTAAGGAAGGAAAACAAAGTGTAGCATGCTACTTTCGGGGACTGATTATATGTTCCCCATTGGAGGTGCTCTAGGATAATGCCCATTGCTCCCCTGATCCATCACCTCCTTTTGTTGCTAATATAAAATATACTAGTATGACAGTGTTGCCCCCCTCGTCTCCTCATCGCTCAACGGCCGTAGCAGCCGCTAACGAGATGGGCCATGAAGGCGTGGGAGGGGTAAAGTGATGAATTCAAACCCAGCAGCCAAACATTTTGGTAAAATATGTCAAACTATAGATTTCCCTTTGCTCCACCGTAACATAAAACCAGTAGGGAGCGAGCTTGCATGGATCGCTTGAACAAGATCAGGAGCCACAAACAGAGAACAATCACCTCACCTAATTGATCCCAACGCTTGATAATGATAACTAAAATTATTGTTGAGGAAAATTTACAGAGGAAATCATGTTTATAACTAACTAGAAGTAGTTGCAAGTGCCATTGTCATCCCCAAAGAATACGCAATGACATGTTCTAGATTAGTCAAGGAAGAATCTATCCATACAATTAGGGTCGTGCTTTGAAACATTTCTTTTCAAAATAATTTAATTCCACAACTACTCGAATCATAGAAAGAGCATTGGACATCATGTGCTATAATTTTACAGTAGGTAGCACATGCAAGTCTAGACAATATAACATGACATCAGGTGAGTACACGCAAGGAAAACATCCACAAGAACATCCGGTGATCAGGCATGAAGGGCTTTCAACAAAGACAAATCATTGTTCTAAAAAAAATTGTACTGCACTAGAAATAAAAATGTATAGAAGAGACCCGGGCCATCAACCAAACTTTTTTGGGGGTCATGGCCCATGTCCCAAAAATGTGTACTCTTTGTCGCACCTAACCCAAAGAGGTTCGCCACAGCTCTACCTGAAGAGGTGGCAACCCACGTCCTGTTACCCAGTTCCTCGACCCATATTACCAAGGTTCCTAGCAACTATGGTCTCATGCATCCTTACGCTGGTATGTAAGATTCTAACATTACTTGTCCCTGTAGCGGTGCTGTAAACTCAACAAGAAGGTACATGAACTTCCATGTCCTGTCAGAGTTATCTTTGAACATCTCTGAATATACCTTTCCAGCTCCATGCGGACCTCGGATATAAAAATTGACCTGAAATAAGACATGCATGTCAATTCAAGTGACCAATAACCAAGTTTGAAGGCTTGCAATGCAACTATGGAAACTCTTATAAAATGCCATCCTAGTGTTCCTTTCCAAGGTAGCAAAGCATCATCTGAATTACAAAAGGCATATATAAAACTTGCAAGGAGCCATTACACGACAAACAAAAAAGAAGCATGTTGGATCTCATCTTAGTTCATGTCGCTGTGTTATCATTCGCAAGCTTGATCCTGGTTAAGGAAGTCACTGCCTCATTGCCATATACCGCTAAGAAACAGTCAAAGTTTAAGTAGCCCACTATATATTGCAGCCCCCTACAGTGAACTTGTATTTTTTTATTGAATTTGATACTAATCTTGATGTACAAGACAACATAGAAGTCACAGCAGCAGAACAGCAGAGACAGGAATAATATAGTACCTCCACATGTTCAACACCATCCTCATCTGTCCAAACCCTGTTTGGAATACGCTGTCGAGCTGCACGGTTTCTGCTTTCATTACCATAACCAGTAATAGGGTACCCAATTCTCGCTGTAACCTGACAAATCATGTGAAATACGAAATATAATGAGAGGAAACTACCACACTATGTCAGGATGAACAGAAAAACACTAACACCCACAAACCTGACTATCACTCTGAACTCTTGCTAGAGCTTTCCCAAAGATCTTGTACCTGCAGGATGGTAACAACAACACGCGTTAAGCAATCTCACTTTCAGGTTGCACGCAAATACCACAGGCATCTTCCCGAAAAAAACCACAGATGAATACGTAGCCAAAAGCAATGTGAAAAACCATGTAATGTAAAAAAAAGATTGAGGCATTCAAACTGACAAAACATATCATTCGATGCACAAAAGAAATTCAGTAAATCTGGAGGGAGAGTATCAATCCATATATGGAAACTGACAACATGCTAAACAAAAACATAACATCCAGGCTATAATGAGCATGAATTCTATTGTGTAAGCAGCTTCAAGGAGAAGTGCCATTAGTAAGAGTAAAAGATGCCAAGAAATGCAAGCACAAAGCTGGTTGTGACACTGTAATACAGCGTAATACGAAGTGTGTAGATTACTAATGAACTTACAGGCCACGTCAAAATCAGAAGCGATGCGGCGCTCCTGCTTCGGGTGAGCGTCCGCCCGCGGCGCCGCCAGATCCGCCCCATCAGTCCTCCCCCTGCGGCCGCCGAGGCAAGATCCAGTGCCCCTGCTCTGCTGCATGCCTCATGTGACGAGATGGGCGTCTCCCGTTCGCACTCGCGGGTGGGCGCGCGGCACCGCCGCCCGCTTCCTCGGCAGCCCTCCGGTGCAGCGGCCTCGTCCGGTTACTGCTGTTCCGCATCGACCTCCGTTCGCTCTGCGTGCGCCGGCCAGGCTCCGGCGCCTCCTCCCCCGCATGTCTCTTCTCCAGCGGCCGATTCGTGGCGAACTTCAGGCCTGCCTCGCCCTCCTGCTGCTCCGACGATGGGAGCCGCCCCGGCCTCTCTGGCTCCTCCTGCTGCCGGCGTCGCCCCCGCCCGTCTATTGCCGCCATCTGCGTGCGGCCTCCCTCGCCTCCCGCAAGGCTGACCCGACCGTGCAGGGACTATTGGTCTCATGCGAGGTTCCGTCCATGCCCGAGTCGTCGGCCAGCTCCAATCTGGTCCTCACGACGTCAGCACCTACCTCATCGCCCGTCATTGCTGCTGCAGACGGCGGTCATGTCACTGGGCCCTCTTCCGACATGAGGGCTGGAGAGCTGCTGGCTGCCTCAGGTGCTTCCGATGCTTTGGCTACGGACATGATGCGGTCTTCGTGGAGCTCCCTCGACGACGACCATGACGAAGATGATGAAGATGGCGTAGAGCTGGCCCCACAAACGCTGCTGGCTTCCAAGTGCTCCAGCGGGGTGAGCCCTGAGCGTGAGGCAGCTACCTGCGAGGGTTGGCAGGAGGTGCGGCCGTGGCATGGTCCTCATCGCCTGGTGTCCCCAGCTCCGGCTTCGTACCCTCGGCCCATCCCTTCGTGGCTCCATGGTCGATGCTGCAGGTGCCTTGTTACTGGACAGCGTGCGGCGAAGTGCAGCGACCCCTTTTGATGCTCTCACTGCTTGGGGGACGGCCATCGGGCCCGTGAGTGTCGGAACGGTTGGCGTCCGCTCAGCTTGCTCGATAACCCTACTGCTTCGTCATTGTCCCGCCTCGACACCATCCATCATCTTCATCCACCTTCATGTCTGGCCCGGTCTGATGCCACGCTTCCCTCCAAGGCGATCCGAGGTGACTCCTGGCCTCCTGGGCGTCTGTTGTTTCTTCTTCTGCTGGTTCTCCAGCCTCGGCTGAGGTGATGCTTCAGTCTGTCTTTGCTGCGCAAGCCGAGCTGCTACGCTCTGAGTTGCAAGGCAATGGCTTCTTTACAGATGGTGAAGGCGATTCAGCCCATGAGTGATGTGATTGATTCAATGCACGGATGGCTGCAGCGGGCTGGGAGCCTTCTGGAGCGTGCAGAGGTTGCTCTGGGCAGGCTATCTCCAGCGACGGCTGAGGTGTCACTCCCTCCTATGCTATGTTTTAAAGGCGTCCGTAAGGCGACGCCTAGGCGTCGAGGCGCCCCCCCAGCGCTTTGCGCTTTAGGCGCCTAGGCGTCGCCTAGGCGTCGAAGCGCCCCCCCAGCGCCTTAAAGCAAGGCGTCGCCTTAAAAACATAGCTCCTATGTCGCCTCCTCTGCCAAAATTTGTTGTTGACTTGGAAGGCGACAAAGATGTGGATCTCTATGGCTGCTTCTCTCCTCATGCTTCGGGCTTCTCGCCCCGTGTTGGGTCTAGTTCGACTCCCCGTGTGTTGCCGGACTTCGAGGGTGAGGCCACCGTCGAGGTTGTGTCCCCGGTGCTGCAGATCATGCCCGAGCTGCAGGTGTTGTGTGGTGCCGTGGTGGAGAACCTGTTTCAACTTTGTCGTTGGAGCAGCTCAAGTTGGACTCTCTCCAAGCTTCACAGGTGGACCTGGTGTCCTCCCCACCCCCCGTGGAGCTTCGTCGGGCGTCAGACAGCCTACCTCTCGACATCATGGAGCACGGAGTTTTAGACGATGCCACCATTCCCTCGCCTGTGACCATCGAGCAGGTGATGCTGACTAGCATGACCATTCAGCCACTTGTGTTAGCACCAACCCCAAATTCAAATGCTCTCTTCGCGAAGGAACTTTGTGACTTGCTAGCCAGCGTGGTGGTTGCTAGACCTGGTTTGGGCAGGTCGATTGCTTGCCTCCGATGGGGACACCAATAAGGGACAAACAAAAGAAGGTGGGAAAAGGCAAGAGTGGCGCCAAAGGCAAGATGTCTTTGCCTGCTTGATTGGTTTGTCGTCGTGGGTTGGGAGGTGCCTCGGGATTTGTGGATGTTGTGTATTCGGCGAGTCTGATGGGCCGCCTGTGCGGTTGTGGGGTTTCATGCCGTGTGAGTAGTTCGACTGTGGTCCGTTTGTATTGGTTTTCGCCCGGTTTTCCGTTAATTAACTGGGCAATTCTCTTCTTCTTAATTAATCGATGAGGCAAAACTTTTGCCTCCGTTTTGAAAAAAAAAACTAATGAACTACAGCATGATTTTCTGCAAGTTGGAGCAGCTAGAACATCAACCAGGTGATAGGTAGCGGCACACAATGAAAAGGGGAAATAGCATATACAAGCAGGTAGTATATATACCACAAGGCCTCCAGATTTAAAAAATATATAGTAGTACAATTAGCAGACTTTTTCGCTAACGAAGTGAATTCCTGCAGTTCAGATAGACATTGTAAGTGCTCCCTCCATCCCATAATGCAAGACGTTTTTTGACACTAGTGTGTGTGTCAAAAAACGTCTTACATTATGGGACGGAGGGAGTATTTTGATATAAGAAATATTACTACATAATTTGTAAAAATGGGACAGTATTTGTTACTACCAAGGTGATGTGCAATGTGCCTTTGAAGCCAGTACCAGGTGAGGTGGCTTGGTGATACATGAAGGGTAGGAGAGCCAAGCCAAAAAAAACAACGCCATAACTTACTCCGTCACCAACCCACGAAAAATCATGAGCCCAATCATCAGTGAAATGGGGAAGGGAGAGAACAGAATGAGATCTATTTATTTAGTTGTGGCTACCACCGAGAGAGAATGATGCTTAACACTGGAGAGGAAAAGAAAACTTCGCACATGCCTGATGTGGTATTTCTTATTGGCAGTACATACTCCCTATATGCCCTTGGAAAGCACACCCTCTGTTCCAAACTGTAATACATTTTGGCAGTTCAATTTGAACTGCCAAAACGTCTTGCATTTAGGAACAGAGGTAGTAACAAGTAGGGTTCTCAAAATACCACAATGAGATATAACTAACAAGTTTCCTAAGCAAAAAATACAGTTACATACAGAATTTTGTTATTTAATGCCTTAAGTTCAATCAGAAGAATGCAAAAGACTTACTCTTTTGGTTCAAAAATAAGCTCCTTAAAAACAGAATATCCAGCTAATGCTGCAACTCCAAGTCCCGCGAGTATTACAACACTGTAAGAAGCCCCCTCAGCAAAAGTCACCGGCTTCTCGGGTATATTATATGTAGGGGCATCAAAGGGATCTTCAACAGTTGACAAGTCCTTTTTCTCCTGAGGATAAAGAGGGCAGTGATCTATAAGCAATATAAGAATGAAATATGATTCAGCATTGGCTTGCACCGTAAGGCAAAATATTAGTTCTTAAATAGGAAACATGAACAACTATTAAACCATACAAAGAGTACTTTGCTAATAATTTTCAATTTGGGTCAAGATATATACATGAACAGGGAACCGCAAAAACTGAAAGAAAAAAAACAAGACATTAGGTGATTAATATTTCTAAGGGAAACTAAATACACAAGAAGAGAACAGACACACTCAACTCTTTCAATAAATAAACTCTAAACAACAGAATTGGTTTGTCCTATTAGACCATTAATTCCTACCTTGTCATCAGCCATGGAATCTGGGTTAAACAAAATGAAGATCCTAATTGGGTTATCTCATGCGAGAAAATCTAGATTCAAGACCAAAGAAGCACCTAGAAATTTATGTATACTGATACAACCAATGAAGCAGAACCTTTTCAGCGTGATTGTCCCATTCCGATAGCATTTAAAATGGTACATACTATTCTTCAAATATTGTTTAAAACAACCCCATTACAGAGGCTAATGTATACACATTCATCAATAGTGATACAGCCACTTCCTGATGCACTGACACCTACTCCCTCCGTTCCGATTTACTCGTCGCCGTGGTTTTAGTTCAAAACTAAAACCACGACGAGTAAATCGGAACGGAGGGAGTACATAATTTAATCTTATGAAAATGGAAAGAAGCTCACAGAAGCTGATGATGTATGCACAGGTGCTTAGTCAGTACTGCAGAGTGCAGATGGTCACAAGGTGACACAACTAATAATTTCATATATTGTCCTTATACAATTTATAGTAGCATGTTCAAAATATGGACAGCACTGCTCAAAACTATACGAAGAGAAGACTAAAACAAGCAGGAAAATGTACAACACGACATTGAGTAATTTTAATAATCAAACACGAACAGAACTAGCTAGCATCATGTACCTCTTTGGGATTTTGGTCTGAAGCTTGTGAGGAGTAAGATGCAGATGACCTTATTAAAGAAGGAAATGTTTTGCGGTACTCCTGCATTGTCAGAGGACTAGAAGGGCTTGACTTGGTCATGTACCACCTTGAATTTTTTTAAAGAGGATGCTGGAATGTTTGCCAAAAGAAAACCATGTCTGCATTAAATAGGGTCCACAGCAAAAGTGGGCACAGTACTGTAAATGACTGTTCGTCCAGATTCGACAACAAAGATCACAACAGTCGAATAGTTATTTATTATCTTTATTGGGTACCAAACATATGATAAATTTGATCAATTAAGTTTTATGTACAAAGTACAAAAGAGTATCTCACATTTGTATTATAGAAATGGCAGAATGCTCTCAAAGAAAGGTTCCATGAAGAAGTTTAAGGAAGTTTTTTCAGTACGTTTTCTAGTAAAATTAAGATTAAAAATTAAAGATCATGACAGTAGATATAATAATAGCAGGATATGTAATTCTATCCTTGAACATAGAGGTAAGAGATGTTACTAAAAAAATCCTGACAGGACTTATAAAAGTGGGATAATTCTTGGCGAGGAGTGGATATAATAGCAGGGCACACAATTCTATCCAAACAATCCCTTATAAAAGATGTTAACAGAAAATAAACAAAATCCTGAGTATCACTGGCTGATGATATTTCTGGGTGGCTACTACATCAGCCACCATGTAAGTAGTGCATTTAGAGCATCCAGGTGCACGTGCAGGTGTTCAAGCCCAACGAGACACTAAGTAGAACTGTCTTCAACAAGGGAGCTACTGGACAGCTATGCTTTGTAACACCATTACCTGTAGCTGGGGTCTAAAAACTAATAGTATTTCAATTGTACACATATGAATTAGGCTAATCTGGTATATTTCGGTAACAGCAGTTCTGCAGACAGAACCAATAGTAGATAATGCCGAGAAACAGTATAAGTTGTAGCCTTATGGAGTATGCTGCGGATATTTGACTGTTCAAGATGTTCTTTTCTTGTAATATCCCATCCCAGTTCACAAAACCTCGTTGGACAAAGTTAGTTCATGCAACGTACAAAAGGCTGGATGGCCCTTTCACAACACCAGGACTCCGTTTAAGCATCAAACATATGAAGAACACTTTATTATAACTGCATTGTAAAATAAACTTATTTGTGAACATAATTTCATTCCAACTAAAGCAAACCAAGTGTTTTAAATTCCTTCTCACACAGCACCAACCACCAGGAACAAAAAAAAAAACAGATGCAACGGTAGCCAGAAGACCAAAAGAAACGGAATGCAGACACATAAGAATAATTGAATTTTCATAATACAGCATCATGCAGCAAACTTCAAGATCAGAGGTGAGAACCTTCAGCCTTTGCAACATCCTGGTGAAAGTGTAGGTAAGAGTAAAACACAAAATCAGTCTTTGTGTACATTGCCAGAGAAGAAACCCTAAACTATCTGAGAAAAAATTATGGTATGTAAAGAATGCTTTAATGTCCTGAAGAATATATGCACTTAGATGAATTTTTTTGGGGGGGGAACGGGAGGTAGGAGAGGAGTGCTGGTAGTTTACAAACAAAATTTCACAGGAATCATCCACTTATTAGATAAATTACAAGCACATGCATTGCTCAAGACTACAAGTAGATGGTGTGAGCAGCAACAACATGCTAGATTGGCAAAACAGACTGCACTTAACTGACTTAAGTACTACAGAGAGCTCGACATTGAGGACCGATTGCTACTTAAAATCTGACACGAGTTGGCCTTAGGAGACCAAAGAAGACACCTCGGTATAGAATAAGTCCCAGTTAGACCGAAGAAATCAGGAAGCAACGACAATGGCGTCGAGACCGACGTCGGCATTGCGTCGAACACCTTGTGTGGGGTATAGGGCTATCTACTCCCGTCACTGGTTTACCTTGTAGATGGCGCCGCCAAGTGGAGCGCGCGGCAGGCGACGAGCGGAGGCCTCTGCCGCGGTGGCGAGGAGGCGGCGGTTGTGGTGGTGGAGCAGCCTCGTGATCCGAGCGGCCATTGATCCTTCTCGTTTGCTTGGGGGAGGGGAAGAAGAAGAACAGGCGAGATGGGGGAAATAGGAGTATGGACTGCGGTTGGGTGTCTTTATTTTGGAGCCGTTCCATCCAATGTTCGATTATGAATCCGACGGCGAGGGACATTTTTGCAGATGCTAACCGATTTTCACGCCTGGATGGACGTTATCCAACGTTTATTAAAATGTAACCTTTAATATATAAAATTGTAAAATAAAATAAATTTCCTGGATCAGTAAAGGAATATAAGATCGTTTAGATCACTTCTTTTCAAAATAATATGAGCACTTCTTTTTTCTTTTCTTTTGGAACATACATACACGCATACACTCATCCCTATGAACGCACACACGCACACCCTATCCCAATGAACACCTCCATAGGCGCCTCGTGAATAATGCAAGCATCAGGACTTGAACCCTGGTGAGCTGGGGATACAAATGTCCGTCTAACCATTCAACCACGTATTGGTTTGTGGTAGTACATGCTTTGACCGGTGGGTTCTGGATTCAACTCTAGGGCCAGATGATCCGCCCGTTCGCATTGTTTCGTGTGTGTTGCTTACCTCCCGTGTTTGTCATGTCATTATCCTTTTTGCAAGGTGAAATGATCCACTTTTAAAACACGTTTAATAGTGTACTTCCTTTGTTGCAGACTAATTGAAGTTCTAGTCTGTTTTAAGTCAAACTTCAATGAGAAATATGTCAACATCTACGTCATCAAATTGGCTTCGATAGATTCATTATGAAACATATTTTCATATTAGATATATTTGAAATGGTCAATGTTTGTTTGACATAGAATAGTCCTAGAGTTTCAGTTATTTTGAAACAGAGAGAGTATATATGTTTAACCATCAAATGTATATACATCGTGGATCGCTTCTATGTCACCGCATTTTGTTATGTACCATATTTTTATATTAGTGGTCGATAGATTCATTATGAAACATATTTTCATATTAGTGGTCGATGTTTGTTTGACATAGGACGTCTTGGAGTTTCAATTATTTTGAAACAAAAGAGTATATCTGTTTAACCATCAAATATATATACGACGGGGGTCGCTTCTGTGTCACCGCATTTTGTTATGGACCTCGCGCCTGATGTGTTGTGTATGCTAGTCCTCATTTAAAGCAAAACTACCACTCACACTCTTTCCCCGACACCACAACACCGCACAAACGTAAGGAGCATAATCCATGGCTTCTTCGCCTGCAGCCAGGTACCAGAAGCTCTTCCCCTCAGCTTGTGCCCCTGTTGCCATTGCGGATCTAGGCCGAGGGATCGACTTTACAAGTGTTGGCTCCTTCATGTAAAATAGTTGCCATCAAACCCCCACCGCCTCCGACACAATTTTAAACTATTTTATTTCTTTATTGTCGACTCATATAAATCTTCATCCTGCATCTGGGAAGTGCACTTCTATGAGTGGCAATACACATAAACAACAATCCTTGCTAATGCTACATATGTGGTTGCTGTCCGGCTACTGCTCGAGCAGCCATCATTAGTCAGGCTCATAGTGGTGTGATGTCTGCTTGGACTACGTTAGTATTTTTTCAAAGAGGAAGGGATGATGCAACACAACAACGGTAGGTATTTTCCTCAGTTATGAGACCAAGGTTGTCAAACCAGTAGGAGAATCACGCAACTTGCTGGGCAGCACGGCCATGGCTGCCCTGAAGGCGAGCCTGAGGGCCTGCATCGCGCCTTTGGTGTCTCCCGCCACCATGAGGACACCGTTGCTGCCAGGTGTCAGTGTCAAAACCGGCGGATCTCGGGTAGGGGGTCCCGAACTATGCGTCTAAGGCTAATGGTAACAGGAGACTGGGGACACGATGTTTACCCAGGTTCGGGCCCTCTCGATGGAGGTAATACCCTACTTCCTGCTTGATTGATCTTGATGATATGAATATTACAAGAGTTGATCTACCACGAGATCGTAGAGGCTAAACCCTAGGAGTTAGCCTATGATTATGATTGTTGTTGTCCTACGGACTAAACCCTCCGGTTTATATAGACACGGAGGGGGCTAGGGTTACACAGAGTCGGTTTACAGAGAAGGAGATCTAACATCCGAATCGCCAAGCTTGCCTTCCACGCAAAGGAGAGTCCCATCCGGACACGGGACGAAGTCTTCAATCTTGTAGCTTCATAGTCCAACAGTCCGGCCAAAGTATATAGTCCGGCTGTCCGGATACCCCCTAATCCAGGTATCCCTCAGTAGCCCCTGAACCAGGCTTCAATGACGATGAGTCCTGCGCGCAGTTTGTCTTCGGCATTGCAAGGCGGGTTCCATCTCCGAATACTTTGTGGAAGATTTTGAACACAAGGATCGTGTCCGGCTCTGCAAAATAATTTCCACACACCACCGTAGAGAGCACAATACTTTATAAATCTAATCTGCTGACAATTTTCCACAGCGCGTTCTCATGCCGCGGCCTGGTTTAATACGAACCGTTTTTCTCAGCCTGCCACGACACGCACTACAAGGCGGTTTTATAGGTACGCCTTGTCGAAGCAGAGATCGTGTCCCCCTTATCGCGGGATTCTCATTAATACGGGTGCGGGTAACCCAACCACGCCCGTTGGCATGACTCCGTGTTTTTAGGCAAGTCCCAAACGCTTACGCTGAGGACGCTTGGTATTCACCCTCTTTATAGAGGGGTCGAGGCCTATCCCTTTCTTACCATGCTTGCGCCTTTTTGCATCTCGAGTTCCAACACCCGAAGCTCAAGCTTAGGCACTTCGGATCTCCAATCATGTCCGGATCCAACCTTCAAGGTCGGTGGATGGCCTCCTTTGTCACAGAGGAGGACATTGCGAAGCTCAGGGAGGCCAGATATCTGACCGCCGATGTCAAGCACAGGCTTCCTGCTCCAGGGCAGGTCATCCCCACTCCCGAACCCAACGAGAGTGTTGTATTCGTTTATCACTTCCTCCGAGGCTCAGGTTTTACCCTAGATCCCTTCGTGAGAGGGCTCATGTTCTATTATGGGCTAGATTTTCACGATCTAGCTCCAGATTCCATCCTTCAAATCTCGTCG